ATGAAAAAGGCCTCAGATGTAGCTTGGTGCTCCCTGCATTTAATCTCCAATGCCACACAAAAATTTCTAATGAAAACCTATGAGTATATCATGAGGTTCATATCAGGTGGAGAAATAAAATGGTTGGGTGATCTTTCACTTATGACTAAGTTAATTTATTAAATATTAAAACTTGTGGACTATTCCACTCAAGAATATTTGATTAGGGAAATGTTAGCAGAAGCATTTATTAATTTTGCCAGTGCAAAAGAGCTAATTCCTAGATATTATTTGTTTGGGCCACATGTTTTTCCTTTTGGAACATGTAACCTTCTGCTTTCTTGTAATGTACTGACAATGATATTGTATGTTGCAAATGTATCCATCTTATCAGATGTTATGGTGAGACACTTCTCTATCAAAGAGCAAATGTGACATGATGTCATCATTTGCAAATAACTATGTAAGATTTTATTATCATTTATTTAGCTTGACCCTAGGAGATTTTTAGTTCTTGATTTATTCATTACACTTGCTTTAATCACACAAGAGAGATATCAGACAGAAAGGGCTGGGGATCTAGCTCAGCAGCACAATGCCTTCCCCGGCAAGCACAAGGTTGTGAGTTCAATTCCTGGTACTGGAAGAAAAACAAAACAAAAAAAAACCCCAAAAAACAAACAAAAAAAAGAGATACCAGACAGAATAACTTTTGTTTGTAAGGCTTATTAGCAATATTCTATAGTACAAATAGATGCTAAACAAATATATCAATATTTTTCTGTGCTGCTTCAAAGGTTCTATAATTGTCCTTCTTAAAGACACTTGAAAATAGTACTGAATCAATCAGCTTAAATATAGTAGTATTACAACCCAGTATTCATGTATCTCAATTTGCAGACTATGACTAATATTAAACACTGAAGGTGGTAAAAATCTTCTCATATACTGATTATGGAAAGCTGTCACCCACAGACTTAAGGGCTAGATAGTTATGCATCTTTGTGGTATAGTTTAACTTTAACAAAGACTTACTAAACACCTACCATAGACTAGAGCCACCTCTAGACACAAAGGTGAGCCATTCATGAACCTTCTTTTGAGTCTTTTAGCTACACGTTCCTTCTTTATTAGAGGGTATGATTTTACACTAACCTGTTTAGCATCGATGGCTAGTGAGCATGGTGTATAAGATCACTAGTTTATTGCTGTATTGCCTAGGGAGGATGCTTTAGACAGAACCGAATGATTAAACCTTTAAAAAGGGCAGCAGTATTTGACTTAATCATTGGCTATCAATTGTCATTGCAGTAATTTGAATGTAACTGATGTTTTATTCCTTATAACTGTATTACTCAGATTTACATATTGAAAAATGGATCGCGAATACTTTTTTCTCTGTTTGTATATATGTATCTACACATGAATATGTATCTTGCTATTGAGGTTAGTAATTCTTTCCCTTTGAGGATTTTCTTTTAGAGTACTTCAGTCTTCTTCCTCTGCCACAATAGGACAATGATATCGTATTACTAAGTGAGCTGCAGCAAATCATAATGATCACTTAAAAGTATTTATTAAATAAACAAGGCAGAGATGTGGTTTCCATCTCTTTTTCTTTTGGGTTTGAATAACATTGTAAATGAGGTACAAACACTTTCAACTATATCCAGTGTCTGTTTCCAGTGAATCGGGAGATGATTGTCTATACTGCAGTTCTGCATGTGCACATTTCACTTTTGACTTCTTTTTGATATTATCATCCAGTCAGCTTTCTTAAGTAGTTTGAAATTGGCATCATTATCTCTCCTTACTTTAAATCTTAACAATATCCTGTGTCCTGACAGAGTCAAAAGAGATGGAGTTTTGAATCTGGGCTCTGTTTTTCTGGCTCTCCTAGGGAAGCTGAGGGTCAGAGAATACTAGGTTAAGAAAGGAGAAGGAGATAGAAATGTACATTTTTTCATATGCTGGTCTTCCACCTGAAAAGCGTGATTAGTCCCCACATGCAGTAGAAAAGGGAGAGCACTCAAATGGGAAATAGGATGGAGAAATGTAACTAATATCCCTGTCATAATACTGTAACTTGTTTTCACTTTAAAATATAAAACATTGTGCCAAGCTAAACAATTGTGAAAGATCGTCTGCCATTTGGGATTTGTTGGCATTGCTTTGGCTCCCTCCAGCCCATTTTAGGCGAGATAGCCCCACAGGGTATTAGATGGGATATAGGCCTCTGGATGTCTCCCGTTTCAAATAAGTTAACCTTTTCAAATGCCAAGAAAGCAACCACAGTAGATGATTTAAGAAGAGCATAGAGACCTTTGCACTCACTATATTTTCTCCAGTTCTGGGGTCTGGTGAATGAGCTCTATTTATCTGACAACAAATGCACCTTCGGGTTGTCAAGAGATAAATGAACACAACACATCCGTAGATCATAACAAGGTAAGTGATATGAATCTGTCTAATATTTAGCATTATAATCAAATATAAGTAAAAGTTATGTGGGCACATTTACACAAATATTATTGTGTTGGTGATACTCAGTAACAAATGAGTAGTAATGTCTATAGTTGCTATAAATTTTACACAGCTAATCTAGAAAAGTGGCTCTGAGACTTTCAGGAAAACCCTTAACTCTGCAGAAGGGGCCAAATCTCTTCTTCTGAACAGGAGGGACCCATTGTCCAGGTATGAGTAATTGTTGGTGAGAGGTAGCTCTGAAGATATTGAGAACTAAGACTGCGGTCCCAAGCCACAAGGAATTAAGAAAGAGTAGTTTTCTCTTCCACAACTGATGTTGCCTCTTTCACTGAAGAGCAAATATTAAGCGGCATAAAGCTCAGGCTTGATTTCATTTCCTTTGGGAATCTACTCTGTAGTGGGGTGCTGGGTCATATGCTGGTTCTGTTTCTAATTTTTTTTTTGAGGAACCTCTATACCACCGAAGAAATATGTACACCTGGATATTTATTGCAAACTGTTCACAAATTCAAGATGTGGATTCAACAGAAGTGTGTATCAGCAGGTGAATGGATAAAGATAATGTGGCACATAGGTGTAGTGTAATACTATTCAACCATAAAAAGATATGATCCTGTCATTTGCACCAACATAGAGGAACCTGGATGATACCTTAAGTGAAATACCCCAGCTGCAGAGAGACAAATACTGCACAATATCATTCATGTGTTGAATCTGAAAAAGTGACTCTCATGACTAGAGAGTAGAATAATACTAAAGGCCAAAGATGGGGCAGTGGGCTGGGGAGAAGTTGATCAACAGGTACGAAGTTACACGCAGTCAGGAAGAGTAAGTTCTGGTGTGCTCTTGTGTGGTAGGATGACTATATTCAGTATTAATGTATCAGACATTTCAAAAAAGCCAGGATGAACGCTTAAGGTGCTAGATATGCTAATCACCCCAATTGGATCATTATATAGTGTATGCATGTATTGAAACATTAAATGCATGTATTAAACATATAAATGTGTAGTTATGGGATGCCAATTAACACTGGAACTTAAAAGGAAAAATATATGTATCAGGCTACCAAAAAAGAGCTTGTGGCAGGGAGGAGTTGGGCAGGGGAGGTGGGAGAGCTCATTCCCCCCAGCAGCCAGGCAGGCTCATTCTTGATCTGCCCCTACTCTCCCAGGAGGAAGCTTCGTGGTGTGAGACAAACGATGACTCCCTCACCAAGCATTTCTGCTGGGACTCCATAAATCAGGAGTGTCCGCTGACCAGAAAACACCCTTGAAGGCCTGAAGAAGAAATATCAACTATTCACTTGCAAGTGTGAATTAATCCTTTTATTTGAATTTCTGAACTCCTACATAGCTGGGGTAGAGTAGGAGACACTGACAAAGGATATGATGGAGACTGTAGTGAGGAACTCTGGCTATGTGGGTGGAAAATGAATCTTAGCCTCCAGAAGACAGTTAGGAGGGACCAGAGGGATCAGAAAGATGGAAGGAAGTAAAGAGAAGAAGATAGGAGGAAGGGTGGAGGTGTAATCTCTAGGCCTCAATTCATGCATTTGCAAAGTCAAACTGTGTGCAAGGCATTTATGATGGGTGTGGCGTACAGACAGGTGCACTGCTTGGTGGGGATTACTATGGACTTGGCAAAGGAACTCACCCCAGTGAAACTTACCCAAGACAGGTTAATGTTCAGATGTCCGTTCTTTCGTTTGTACATAGTAAGAGCTGTACCTGTCTGACAATAAGCCTGCAGCAAGGCCTTCCTTCAACATCAGGAGCTGCTACGTGCAGTGCTGCTGACTTGACCATGAGAACACATACTTCTCCAGAGCCTCTTTGCTTCCATGTCCTGTGCTCTATTTCTTGCTAACAGCTTAGTCCTACTTTCTGTATTTTTCTTTAATATGCATGGATTCTTATTTGGGCCGAACGCCCATTTTACTCATTTATTCAGACAACTGTAGAGAGACAAGGTATAGTTTAGTTAAAGCTATCATTGATCAAAGAAAACAATTTAGGTCTTTTTGGGGATTGGACTAATTTTTGGACGTCCTGGGCTTTCGAGCAGCAGAATTAACACTACAAAACCATAGTCTCCTGAGCTCACACTACTTTCCTGGCGATAAAGCATTTACATACGGTGTTATGTTTTTACTAGACCTTTACATGTTCCAGTAATGAGGCAAATGTATATAGCAATTAACTTTTTAGCTGGGTATGGTGGTGTATGCCTGTAATCCCAGCACTTGAGAGGCTGAGGCAGGAGGATTGTTGCAAGTTCAAGACCAGCCTGGGCTACAAAGTGAGCTCAAGTCCAGCCTGAACTGCATAGCGAGGCCCTGTCTCAAAAAAAAGACACACACACACACACACACACACACACACACACACACACACACAGATTAACTTTACAGAGTTACGTGGCATGAGTTTTACTTTATGTGTTCCAACCTGTACTATATCTTATCCATTCTCTTTTACTAAAGAATTGAGCTAGTTTGTAACTAAGAAAGACCAGACAGGAAAATCATTATGTTTTATGTTTACAAAAACTTTTTAATGTAATTTAGGAAAACAAATTGGAGCCAAAAATGATATTTCAAGGATAACAGAAGATTGAGAGCCTGAGGTGTTCCTGAAGTTTCAAACTGACCACACTGTAAGATTGTTTCACTAGCACCTGGTCCAGGATGTATTTAACTAACATTGAGTCGGATTTCAGTGGGGTTACAGAGGGGAGGAGTACAGATAAATGCCATCGTCCATTAGCAGATGGTGGCTACCCTAAAGACCCAGTACTCAATGAGCAGGCACACCTTAACGATCTGTGGAATATTGAACCCAATTAGAGAAAAGCAGAGAAGTCCTTTGGTCCACCCCTCAGTAAGCTCTGCGGCATTCATAGGCGCCCCAGGCCATACTCCCGTCTTCTTTCGTCCAAGGCGAAGGATCATGAAGGGAAGAGGTGTCTGTCCCCTCCTCTGGGGACAGAGGCAGCCCCTTGGGCAGTAGGTCGTTTGACATGGTCACCAAAGGGGCGAAGGGGTAGGGGGGCGGGGCGGGGTACCCTGCTGGGTGATGCAGGTCCTCCAGCGTGTGCAGGGAGTAGGGCTGAGTCCCGGCCAGGGGAGCCCCCCAGCTTGCGCTCCTGTGCTGGGTGGTGCTCGCGGACTCGAGCGGGGAAAGACAGCTCGTGCTGGGTGGCAAAGTCTGCAGAGCTTCGGCGGGCACGGGGTCCGGCTGGCTGAACCCATCCGGCACCGTCTGCTCCCAGGAGTCCCTCTAAAGAAAGGAGAGGCCACTGGGGTTATTCACTAGGAAATACTCTGCGGATGCAGATGCGGAGCTGCTGCTGGCGGAACAGCCTTGCTGCCCTCCCGCTGCGGCTGAGGTCGCGGGCGAGGCGGCTTCACCCTCTGGAGTCTGACACCTCTAGGATTTCGGTTCCTTTCTACTCTAGACCCGGATCTCCTATACTGGATGTATGGAGATTCTCTCCCCGAGAACGTTAGACGAGATGTGAGAATAGAACGAACACCCACCTGACACTTTCCAACAACGCCGTCTTGCATTCTTTTTGGACCTGGTGTTGCCCTGGGGTCTGGAATACCCTCTGCACGGCGGGGTAGGAGTCCCTCAGGGAGGAGCTTCTCCCGGCCGGGGGAGGCACCCGCCTTCGCGGAGCAGAGGAAAGCCTGGCGCTGCCTCCCCAGCCTGCCCCTCTCAGGGTGCGCCGGGCTCACTCACGGTGGTGCCACCCACTGCGCTCTTAACTCTGCGCACCTCACTTTTTCCATGTGTGAAATGGGGCTGTCGTAAATATTTCCTGTTATTGCGAGTACTAAGGAACAGAGGCGCAGGGAAATGCCTGGCTTGGGGTAGGTAGGTGCTCAGGGTTAGTGCCCTCGCGCACCCCTTTGTCTGCAGTTCCAGCTTTGGCGAGTCAGGCCTTGGTAATAGAAGGCCCGCAGTGTCACCCCGCAGTGTCACCCCGCAGGGTCGCCCCGTACTCACCAGCAGGAAGTGCGCGGGGTCCCCGGGGAAGGGCGGCGGCAGCAGCGGCGGCAGCGGCGCGGCGCCCAGGAGCGCGGCGGGTCCGGC